CCTGATTGTGCCCTATTCAGCCGTTTTCCGACCTCATTCCTGCACAAATGGTATCAGAGGGGGCGTCGAATTCAAACTATGTGCAAATGTCCGAAACAATGTTTTTGTTAACAGTGCCTTTAAAGGTCGGCTAAGCTGGTCTTAAGCCTTCGCCCTATCTATACCGTTTTTGACCCTACAGCGTCCCTTGTGCTATCCTTGGAAGTCACGGGATCAGCCCAGGGACGAATGCGGAAACCATTTTCATCGTGAACAGTGCTTTAAACGTTCTCAACATGAATCCATATGTATCTTCCTGCTACTTTGTGAATATACTGATGCAGGGTTGTTCATCGAGAAATCGAGCAAAATCCGAGGAAGTCTCAAAATATAGATTTCTTCCGATCTAGTCATTTCCAATGTTGGACAAGGCTCAAGTCAAATCTTGAGTGTGGGGCATTATAGACTGCATTGGGCGATTCTCCTAGCTGTTGTCTCGTCTGCTTATCATGTCGGTCTGATTCAGCCCTTGTTATCCAATCAAAACTGCCCTCATTTTTGAAAGTACGGTGTGGGAAACCGGTCAGAGAAGGCAATGATGCATTATGAGGGTAGTAGGGTGTTCCATATCGAACCCTCACCTCATATGCATTGAAAGTGGTATACATTTTACTATTATGTCAATTTGACCAGAAAAATTTCTTTTGTTTGACTTACACTATAGGGCCACTAATCGATAACGTGATTCTGCCACTTGCTTTGTTCATCTGAAGGGCTTGTTGGATGGGGTTTAAGCGATGATTCCGGAGTGTGAGTTTATACTTCGAATTGAGTGTGGTTCTTACCGCGCTGGCCGCGCGCGCTGAGGAGAAGACTCGAATTGGCTGTGGAAAATTGCGGTAATTGCAGCAAGGGTATGGATACTGGTCGCTTTTCAGACTTGGTTCATTGTTCATGGTAAATTTACTTATGGGCGGAGGTATCACTGTGTGCCAAACAACCATGAAGGAGAACTCACCCAGATCTCACAACAAAATTTCGTGGATAATCAGGCTCAACTGGTCTTATAACCTGTTCGACCTTCATGTTGTCTTCTTCAAAAGGTGATCTTGACGATTTCAATATCTGAATACGAAATCTAATGGTACAAACAAATTAGTAAAGGTTTACATGGGAACTACAGCGATACAAAGATACATTTCTTAAGGAGTACGGCGACTCCTGCTCGGATGCCTTTCGCTGCTCCACATTCATCTCCGCAGCTTGACTGACAATGAGTAGTTTAGTAGTAACAAATGAACATTACTACATAGCATCCAGCTTATATCAGGTTTATCGTCAAAATCACTCTGCGATGCACACTCTTTACGATTTCGATTTGACGAGGTTTCGACGACTCGAGTTCATAGTTCTTTCGGAGTTTTCCCAGGAAAAAGGGGAATATGTCATGTCCCTACGACATGATTATCGGACCTTCTACCAGCGCATCTTTATCGATTAGGAATACGGGTATGTGGCATTACGTGCGTCCGAGACGCGCGCGGCAAATTGCGCGACGAAGTACGTAACGATTTGAACGACTTTGACGCCTATCAATGGAACCCAAATTTGAGGTAGAGTAGATTAGAAGGATCATCTGACCCTACTAAACTACTCCGAGTTTGCGCCCCAAAAATAGGCGTCAGAGTCGTGCAAATCGCCACGAACTTTGTCGCGCGAGTTGCCGCGCGCGTCCTCGGATGCACCTAGTGCACGTTCCCTAGGGGTACTTCTGCAGTTTTTCAATTCCACGGGAAAGTGGAATGGGATACACGTGTCCCAATCGCTTCACGTAAAAAAAGACAGCAGAAATTACACGGGGTGAGTGTTCGCGGTTGTCACGCGGTGACCTACGGACTACTTGGACTCGGTCCCTTTGATTGTGGCGACCGCAGCTTCTATCACGCTCCCGTTCACTCCGGTCTTTAGCTGCTGTGCTTGTTTGACCAATGCAACTACCACCAACCCTCGTGTCCTTCACCCAGGGCATTTTTTTGTGCGCTCTAACCTTTTGCGGTTAGGACGCAAAGAAAATTCAAGTAGTCACGCAAAGCCATCTGTGGCGAGACTTGGCAAGGAGTTCGGGCTGGGACCCACTGTCAGATTACGGTAGGAGCGGAATTTCAATGCTGTGTTTTCATTTCTGTCTGTGGTATATGTGGTCAGTTCAGTCAAATCTGAGAGGGTTCGCTTCCCTCCTTCCCAGTTGCCAACTTCATTATGCGCTCTGAAACAGTATTGTGGGTGATTATACTGTTAAGCGAGTCTAGGAGCGATCCATTTTAACGTTAATTTTGTTTTGAGTAGAATGATGAGAGAACGAATTTCAGTTGGATTGTGGAGTGCAACGTTGATGGAGATGATTTTTAAGAGCAATGGTAAATTTTGTGAAGCTCATCGTCATAAATGATGATAGATCTTACCGAAAGACTTTAGGATTCAAGTGAGGTGAGCGAATTTCTTCTGAACTTGTTGTTTGTGCAATATAAAAGGGAGTTTTACATCTTCAAAACACAATTGTGCTCATTGTCTCAATCATGTTACACGGTGAGACGCCTTTTTCGAGTTTTATTTGCTCTGTTATATCTGTCTCCACATCTATCATCTATCTGCCCTATTCAAGTGCTGGTGCAAAGTCGCAGTCGCATCGCTAAGTATAAATGCTATAAGTACGCTTAATGTGTAGTGAATTAGAAGGTAGTGAATTAGAGCGTAGACCTAGCACATATTGTTTTTGATATTCTCAGTGCGATTTTCATGGAATAATGGACTTTCGCTCTGGTTTCCTTGCAATCGTATGCGTTTGCGTAAGAGATACCGTGCTTCGTGAAACCTTTTCACTTTCATCGGCATGTCAAGCCCAAGTTTGACTACAGCTGTGGGGTTATTTAATTGAAAATTCGAGACCCAGCACTCCCCAGAACAAAGCCAGGTTCTTTGTTGAACCTTCCCGCAGTCTTCAGGCCGATGCACATGGTTTGAGACTCGTTTCCTCAGTAGTAGGAGTTAATCAGGACGTGAACTTGATGAAGACTAATGAAAATACAAAGCCAAAGTAGATTTTTTAACTGCGAATCCAACGTAGCCGAAAATATGTTTGGGAAATCCTGCACCAAATTCGATTAGCGATATTTGTAAGTTGCACCGTATTTGGTATTCTGCATCGCTCAAGGAATGCTGTGTTTCTTCCCATCCTGACATTTCCTGTATTCATTTTAAGTCCTTTTTCTTTTACTTCCTTTTCATATTTTCGGGTTGCTTCTGTAAAAGGGTTTTGTCGATAGAGCAACTTCTGATAAGGAACGTTAGTCAATGCATAAGCGAATTTCAACCGTTTTGTGACGAAAAATTGTGTCGAATGTTAGGAAAAGTATTCCCGTACGACAGTCTGTCTACTGCTTTTGCTCCCCAATTTGTCGAAATCTGTTGGTTGTCAATCAAAATCATTGATAGAGATTGTCGCTCGAATCTGCCGTTTTGCCAGGGAAGCGTTATCCCTGCTAATCTCTGGGATGTGGTGCATTTCTACTGGACGAAGTTGACTTTTCGGTGGAAGCGTTGATTAACATAGTGGGGACCGCTTTTCTAATGACGTCGAGTAGGAAGTTCTAGCGGAATTGTTCTCTCTTTTGCGACTCACATTGTTACCAGTTCTTTGTTCCTGTGTTATCTTTTCTCATATTGAAGTTATTCGTCAATTGTCCTGTGAGAGAGACCATTCCGCTTGACCATTGACCATTTGTATGTGATTGTGCTAAGGAGAGCACATTGGACGACAACCGATCAGACACGTTTTAGTCAATTTGTTTAAAAATAACCGTCGTGTGCCAGTCAAGATGACTGAATTTAAGTGAACTCACTGAGCCTGACTTATACAATTGCCAACTTCCTACTTCCCTTCTATTTGTGAAATCAGTATTGTTTTGATTTTGAAATCAGCATTTGTTTTGATTTTTTGGTCATCCTGGTGTGATAAGTTGTTCACCAATCTCAAAAAATTCATCAATCGAAGGGAAAAGACGGTATGCTCGGGTTAGCGGTGGTCAGAAAACTGTACGTTTATCGAAAACGCCTATCGACAACCCCTGTGACATGACTGGGTTATTCATTACCGCCTGCGACGGGCCCACATGCAAACCTCATGACCTACATGAGCCTATAAATAGGGTTGCAAATCTGCGGGAACTCTTGTTCCTTTACTATTTTTCCACTTCTTTGCCGGTGTTAGTGCTGAGGTGGTGAGCTGCTTTATCCCACAATAGCGGTCGGCTGTAGGTAATGGCATCGCGCAGTTTTGTCGCGTGTCGTCGCGCATGCTCTTAAACCACGTTGAGGCCATTGCGTTTATACTTAGCGTAACTTCGTTTATACTTAGCGTATAATTGCGTTTATACTTGGCGAAACTGCGTTTATACTTAGCGTATAATTGTGTTTATATTTAGCGAAACAGGGTTTATACTTAGCGTATAATTGCGTTTATACTTAGCGAAACTGCGTTTATACTTAGCGTATAATTGCGTTTATACTTAGCGAAACTGCGTTTATACTTAGCGTAT